TGGACAGTGCCTCTCAACTTTGTGTCTTCAGCACACTGCTACTTTTTGTGCCAAGGTCACTAATGAAAAAGTCATAAATGAGATCAGTGTCAAAATTGATCTTGCAGGAACTCTACTAGCAATTTCCTCGAACCTCACCAAAAGTGATTATTGTCTTAGGACTCTTTCTGCTTGGTCTACATTACAATTCCTACATTGAAAAACTGCATACATTAAGAAAATAATGACATCACATTGAAAAGCAAAAAGGATAATACCAAATACTCCTTTCCATAATGAATTAAATTCCATGGGTATATTATTAAAGCAAGATGCTTAGTAATATTCAAAGTACATTTACCTGAATAATAATACAGCATGCAATTAGAATGTTATCCAAAGTGATCTAAAATGTATCAATCCCTGTTCTCCAAGGCATAAACAGATCAATAGTTGGGATCAGGGATATGTCTCTACTCACAGTGCAATATTTTTAAATTACATTCCCTGATCTATTCTTGCTTACAGTAGCATAGATCTGGAATAATTCCACTGAAGTCAGTGGAGTTACATTTGATACAAACCTGCTGTAATTTAGATCAAGATAAGGACCTTTGACTTTAGCTGAACTACTTATCTGAAAAAGGGCTGCAGGAGCAGGGCTTGTGTGCTTATTTTAAGGAAAAAGAAAAAAAATTAAATTTTGCACATTTTCATATTACATTATACCTTAATGGCATGGTTCTTGGGAGCCGGCCACTCTACATATGAGAAAGAGCTCTTACTTTGCCATTAGATGCATCAAATTGGCTTTAACCTGGCAAGAAGCCGAGGTCCAGTAACCTTGCATGAGAGAGGTTTATAGCAGAGTCTGATGAGGAAAAGCTGCACCATATATCTTAAAACTGGGGAAAAGTTAACGGTTTGCTGTCCTCGCTCTCTGTCCTGCCCTATCTTAGCCAAGATGTGTTCTACAACAATGGAAAAACATGCTCAGATACTCTGCTGTTATTTTCTTACCCTTTTTATACTGTCACAATGTATTTATTCAGAGACATATATCCCTTTGCTGTGTCCCCAGTTAGTGCTGCAATCAGAGGTTTCAGCTTTGCTCTTAGTTTTTATGAAGGCCCACTGCCTCAGCGTACAATTAATTTAAACCAAGTTTCACAGAATTTTATGAGCTTAGCACATTCAATAAACACTGGCATAGCTGTGTGCTTGAATGTTGTTCCCCTATGTATTCTGTGGGAAACGCGTGACACCTCCTGCAAATGTTGCAGACCTTGAGTGCACATAGGCATAGAAGGGATTCAGAAAGGGGTTTTTTTATACGTGTGTAAATTACAGGATCAGGAACAGATGGATATGTTGCTATCCCTGGGTAGCTGATCACAGTAGGTGGCTAGTACTATGATTTGTAAATGGGTGGCAAGGAATAAGTAAGAGCCTCTTTGTCTTTAGAAAAGCAGCAACCCTGACGTGGACACAGAGAGAAAACTTAAGCTGACAGTAGTGGAGTTTTACCCCATTCTTTCAATGATAATTCTTTACTAGTTTACACAAAGTAATCTAGTTTAGGGTTTTAAACCACCTATCCACTACTACGTCTATTGGTGCAAACACATCTCCTGTGTCTGCTGTAAAAAACTCAGTGCCGCCTTTGAGATCTGTGAGATTAAATGGCAATGGCTGTATTATCAATATTGAAACCAAGATAGGGAATAAAGAAATCTACTTATTGATCAGAAGGAATCAGGTTAGGGCAGGGCAGCAGGAACTTGCAGAAGAGGCAATTTAACCCTAACCTTTCTTTAAAGATGTTTGAACAGACAGTTTTTTACTATTGATCAGAAACTAGATCAATAACTAGAAACTAGTTCAATAACAGAAACTAGACAGCCGACTCCAGGCATAATTTTTTACTTGGAAATACAAGAGCCAAAAATACATTCTGATTTGGAGTTACAGGGTTCTTCTGGATGTGACTATATTGTGCTGGTGCAATCTCAAGCCTGAAGCCCAGAATCTGCATTTTTCAGCAAGTGTGAAGAATAGTATAAAAAGTCTTCCCCCCCCCACCCCACACTCAAGCTGACATTTGCACAGGATGCTTTTGAAGCTATTACCAGCAACTGTATTTAGCATTTGTTTTTGGCCTGGTTGAGCAGCCTTTGATGCTGTTCTGGGCTGCTATCATCTAGCATTTAGCTCTCACTTGGTTGAATGGCTTTTCATGCTACTTCCGATTTATTGGTGATCTGGTCTTGTCAATTTTATTTAAGGTATTTGATTCCTCTTGTCCTCCTGGACCTTCACTTTTCTTTTTCCTTTCTGGCATGGCTGAACTCTACTGCTATGGCCTCAAACTTGCAACCTCTGGGCTGCCAACTGTGAACCTTAGTGTCCACATGACCCCAGCCTCCTTGGGCATTCACATAAGTGCTTGATAAAAGTAGGGAGCCAGGTTATAGATTGTGTCTTTTTAATTATTGTTATTTTCCTCTTACATGGAAATAATAAATGAATATGTAATAGTTAAGCACCTATTTTATATAACCTTTTTTCTTTGTTCTTCAGAATTTCATCAAAACAGAATTCCACCAAATCAGTGAATTTTCTCACCCCCAACATGCATACCCCTTCCTATTTATTCCATTTTACAGTAACCATTCTAAAGATCCTGTACCATGACTCTACTTACTCTGCCGAACACTGATATGGTCTCATAATAATGTTAGAATGATGGTGAAGCCATGAAGGTCTAGGAAGTATGCGAGACAAGGATTTCTTAGGGTGATACCTTCTACTGGATTGACTGAATAGTGGGGAGGAGTTAACAAGCTTTCAAATGCAAGGCATTTTTCATCAGATTATCACTCAGACCTGATGAAGAATGCCTTGTATTCAAAGGCTCATCTACCTCTGCTATGGAGTTGGTCCAATAAAAAGACACCACCCTAAGAAATTCTTGCCTTTTGCACCATGTCATGTCATTCTTCCTCCAGCAAGGGATATGTTCACTCCTAAGTCAACAATCCTTTACCCTGTCAGGTAAGGATACGAGAGATGAAAACTAGGAAGGGAATCAAAGCTCATTCCTTCCCCCACTTCCAACACAGGTACAAATTATAACCATCCTGCCACTAGGGTTTTCTCCTTTTTCATGTCTATTTTAACTTTCTTCTTAATTGACTGAGAAAGTGCCGAGTTTAATTATCTTTTTGCATGCCTGTGTGAACTGGCTGTTCTACATTTTTAAATTTTTTTAATCCACCGACTTGAGGCTGACAGAGTACAGTAATTTTCTCTCTTATCTTTAACGTCCATTTTTGGCCCTCACCTTTTATAGACTCTTCAGTCTGTAACACACAGAGCACAGCATTGGGCTAAATTATGCTACACCAACAACCAGCAGCCAGTCATTGTTCCATGACTGTGCTTTCATTTGCTGATTGGTATACAGCTCAGTAATACATCCATGATATAATTACCATTTTCTGCTACATTTAAAGTATAAGCCACAGTCCTGAATTTTAACTATGCAAGCAGGTCATTCATCAATATTTGAGGCTGTACAGGCAGCGATACACAGCCAGCTACGCTATCATTCTGACCAGTCTCACAGGCTAAGCACGTTCATGCCTTTTGCGCAAATGTAATGGGAGCTCCTCAAGGAATATCTAGAGGTTGCAAAAAGTAATGCACATGCTATATCAAAGGCATGTGTTTAGACTATAAGATTTCCAGAACAGAAAACACTGGCAAGATACAATGGTTGAGCATGAGGAAAGATGATTGGTGAAAGAAAAAAAATGTAGGGAAGATTCTGGGTGAAAATGGGTTTTGGGGAAGCAGCAGGAAACTTGTTCCCAAAATTCACACTGAAGCATCCCCCTTGGTAGGGCAGGGGTGTCTTTTTTTATTTTCATGTTCTTCCACCCAAACTGGTGAATTACTTGCAACACACTGGAACTGAACTACCTTGTGAATCCACTTTGCAAGCAAAGGACAAATCTTATATATGGATGCCAAAAAGCATTAAAATGAGCGATTCCTCTTCTCTATTCTTCATTAAGTGGCAGATAAGCTTGTGTTCCCTGCCCCAGCTGTGCTAAAGCATCTGCCCTTTAGCCACAGCAACTGCCTTGTTACGCATTATTGACATACAATCACGAAGACTGACGGGAGATGGTGATGCAGTGAGGATCCCTTGGGCATATGACATGGGCTATAATGCTCAATGACTTCATACCTCAGCCCTAGTACCATGTGAAATATCCCTCCCTCTAGAGTATGGAAGAAGGGGGAAGTGCTCACTGCTTTACTGTTGATTCACCATGGGGGGGGTCTCAAGGGAACATTCATAGAAGAGACAAAACCGAGTACAAACCCTGCAGCCTTTACTTTAACAACACTGAATTCTCAGAGCCTACAAATAATGACAAATGACTAACAGCTCAAAAAACCTGGCCTTTCAATGAGGGCAAGTTGTCTGGGATGATTAACCTTAAAAAAAGAAAAAAAAAAAAGAGGGGGAGGGAAGTCTGTAGTTATTAGTTGGAAATGTGTAAATTTAGCGATAACACTATAAAGAAAAGCTGAAACACTACTGCACATGCCAAACCCTTATTACAGCATATTGCAGCTAATTCATAACACTGCAGCCTTGCCATCTCACAGGGTTTGTATTAATGCAAATTACCTTTTGCTCACTTTAGATGACAGGCACACTAAGCAATTTGAACTTTTATAATGCTAACACTCCATAAAGAGGCACAACAACGACAATTATAATAGTCTGTTCCTACTGCTGTGGATAAGATTGTCAGCATTTCAATTCTAACTCTTATTTTCAGCAACTTAAGTTATTTAGGGGAAAAATGCTCCATCATAGAACTTGGCACATGTTATTAGCCAAAAAGTATTTTTAAACATGTTTATACACTAAAATTTGCTTAATATTTTGAGATTACACAAGGACCAAATATATTTTATATATACACACAAATACAACTAACCTGTTTTGTGGTAGACTTATAAAATGAGAAAATGCCTTTTTACAGCTCTAACATATTTTTTTAATCAAATTTCTTATTCATGGTGCCGCTTACACTTTGGAAAAAATACTTTTGTTATATCTTAAGGTTTATATCCTTCAGAAAATCTCATACCACTCTTGGCCAAAATCAAAAGAATAATAACATAGAAAGATACAGTCTTACAGCTTGATGCCAGCATCAGCAACTCCTGCAGAATAGTGGTTTAATATATTAGTAACTCACCCCACAGGCTCAAGCAGCCACAAAGATATTACAAGCCTACCTTTACCCCCAACTTGTGTGCTTTGCTAAACACAGCTGAACTAGATGAGAGGCACCAACACTCACACAGCTGCCAGCACTTTGAGGTAACTGAACACCATCACTTGTGCAGGCCATTACCCATGTCATCAGTTTGATTGAACTAAACTCCAAAACACCTGTAGTGATCCTAGCCCACATCACTGATATATTGATCCCAATATAGCTCCTTCATACCAGATAAAGACTGATTTGCTTAGATTTTCACAGAGCTATGCATAATAATTGTCTGCTAACCTAGAGAAACAGCATTTTGTGCATATTGTGGTTCTTATAAAGCTGAATCTATTTATTGTTAGTCACACTTTTTGTGGGACATGTACACTCAAATTACAAAAATGCATTTCTTTAAAATTATGTCCCTGGCTTAAGTATTGCTTATTCCACCTCCATCTTTGAGTCAGTCACAAGTGTTACAAAAGTAATGCAAATATCAGCAATGAAGTGTCACTACCCATGTTCTTTACTTTATGTTGATTCATAAAATCTGTAGCTCACACAAGGCCTCTCTTCTTTTCTCCAAAACTATGGTATCCTAATCCCAAGTACATCAGCTCCAATTATTTCAGTATTCCAGTTTTAACATTAATTGGGAAAATCATTAATTATCTGAGTTTAAATGTGACAAATCAAATTGCTAGGAATTAAATAACTTGTAGATCAATACTGTTTGAATTATCAATTAATCATTCCTTGTAATTAAAACTACCAAATCCCAGTGCATTTCATTTAAATCTTATTATGCAATTTCTAATTTGGAGCTTTTAGAAGCTATATTGATTGTAGGCATACTTATTATCATACCTAGTAATCAAATAATTTATTAATCAGTACACCTGCTTGTGGGATATACTATTTAATTATTGGAGCTTTCTGTTTACAGTAAAGGCTTAATTCAGACACTGAATAAACAAAGATATCAATGTTTTACAATTTTATTATATGTTTCAAGTCAACCATTACAAATGCAATCTGTAAGAATAAGATTTTAGAAATAAATATTATTGAAACACTTAGAATAGAACCAAGTATGTTTTTTTTCAAATAAATATTTTTTAAATAAAGATTTAAGGGATATTTGACTTCTCCCAGTTGTCATTACTTTTGAGGGAGAGGAGTAAATATATAGTATTTATAGTTTGTAAATCTTATAGTCTACAGATCAGTTTGATTTGCAAAATGATGTATATGAAATAGTCTGAGAATTCGAACTGCACAATATCATAGTTCAACTATAGATAAGAAAAAAAATCAATAACATTACCAGAAACATGACAGATTTTCAGACTAGAAGTCTAATTCTCTAAAGACTTATGGATATCAGGAACTGTATTAATATGAGTAGTGTCATTGGGAAATAATGCATATTGGAATATGGTCTAAATTCAGTATTGGGACTAACTCATTAGAATTGAGCTTTACACTGGAATCATTTCACACTGCACAACGGGAGTTATCTATTAATAAACAATCCAAAAATAATTTATTAATGACAACATTGGCAACTTCAGAGTAAATGGTAAGCTTTCATAGGAATGTATAAATCAGGTTGTTTGTTTGGCTGATGAGCAGAGGGGTGAAGGGAGCTTGTATTTTAGAAAGTTGCATGGATTAAATGTCTTGTTAGCATCTCTGTCCCTAGTCTAACTTGAATTTTGCAAAATGTCAAGAGCCTGAACTGGCTGGGATTAAGTTCAAGTTCTGTAATTAATGCATCTGTTTGGCATTTTGTACCTGATTTTGTAATTTTAGATACTAAGATAGGTCAAGAATTTGAGGCAGACGCTATAACTTAAAATAAATAAAAGTAAATGCGGAAATTTATTTTATTGTTTTCACAATTATTTGAACAATAGATCTTCCCTAGTTCCTTAATTTTTTTCTTCTGAAATTTCTATGAGCTTTCTATGATCCCTCTCCAAGTCCCAGGACAGTTCTTAGAATAAGTTAAACTTAAATGATATTGTGGGTCCTGGGCGCATTTACACATGCAAATGCTGCTGGATGGGTTTACTCCAGAATAATTTACTCTGGAGTAAACCCATCCTGGGCAGGCATCTACACATGCACCCATTTGGGAGCAGATTTGCTGCTCCTGGAAGCAGTCTGCTCTGGTCCTCTCTGTCCCTACACCAGCCCCCTGCAGCAGCCAGGGGTAGTGCCAGGCTCCCCCCTGATGCTAGCCCAGGGGCTGGTAGTGAGCACAGGGCCAGGAGACAACAGTCTCCTGGTGGGGGCTGAGAGATTGCTCCCTGCACCTGGGAGCTTGGACAGGGACAATGTCCCCTTGTCTCAGCAGCAGAGAGCTCCTGGCTCCAGCTCCCTGATAGGGGGCAGGGGGCTTGGAAAGAGCTGCAGGAGAGGGGAAGGTCCCAGCCCTGCTACCTCACAATCCACCTGTGGGACAGCTAGCAGTGAGCCCCAAACTGGGTGGGGATTCTGCACTCATACAGCAGGGGCTGGGAGCTCCCTGCTGTGGGGGCAGGGGGACATTTTCCCTGCCCATGCTTTGGTGGCAGAGCATGTGTATGGACACACCCACTATGAAGCTAGAAGACTTGACCAAAGGAAAGACTGGGCAGGAGTTTCAAGTATGAGATCTTGTATTAACTTACAATATCTAGAGGCATGCTTAACTAGGCAACTGCTTTTCTCTCTATATTATAATGCTGAAACACTTGGAGTATGTACAACCTCCTTATTGAACAGAGGCTGACCTGGCACTATTCATCCTTACCTTTGGAATATGCTGATAGCCTCCATCCTTCAATCTGACTTAATCTGAATCTGTTGAAGGATCTGTGTGGAGGGAAATATTGACTGAAGGGTTGTAGCTGAAGGATAGAAGAATAGATTCTTTTTAATTTGTTGATATTGTGTGTTTTATTTAGTGCTATTATATTTTGAGGAGTTTGATATTAGGTAGGTCAGAAGGGTAACATAACAACTTTCTCTTCTTATATATTTAAGTAAATAGACCCCCCCCCCAAGCATTTTTGGCCTAATTATGGCTTTTTATGCCTTTATTTGAAACGAGACTTTTCTAAAATGAGGTAACGTGCACCCATCTGAAAAGCTCCATGGTACCATACAAACTATTATTTTAAGGCTTTCTGGTAAGTCAAGTCTGTTTCTTACTCTTCCTTAGGTTATATTTAATTTAAAAAAACAAACAAACACTCACAACTATTAAAATGGTTAAAGCAAACTGTGATGTGTTTTTGTTTTTCTTATCAAAGTTGTTGGCATAGAGCCCCAGTATCATCTCAGTTAGATGTAAGAAATATCTTGGTATTTAAGATAAATCTTAGGTATAAAATGAGTGGATCAGACCCATAAACTTTGTATTGTACAAGTAAAGTTTGATATTTGATAAACATATCAAATTTGATAAACATATCAAATGAGTGGATCAGACCCATGAACTTTGTATTGTATAAGTAATTTAAAAAAATATATATTCTGTGGTAAATGGCCCATTTTTGGTAAAAATGTATATTGTAGGTTGGGAGAAACAGCATTAAAGCTAGTGGGTGAAATTTCCGTTTTCATTTAAGATAATAGAAATGATTAAGCCCTTTTATTTTACAACTATGAATAAAAACCAAATGTGTCTGTAGGCGTGTAGGGGTCTTTCTCATGTCTTTAGGATCTGAAGTGCAGCCTGCTTCCTCACAGTCATCCACCATGCCTTGATGGAAAGAAAACATGAAGCTGATGGTTGATAATCAGATAATGAGGACTGCGGCTTTGCACCCCGATGGATCCTCTCCACAGGGCTCCAACCTCCCCTTCACCCTGTCCTCGCCACCCCTGTTGATGTGATCAGAAGCTTTTACTCTTAATCTTCAGGGCAATGGCCTCAGGATGTCCCCAGGTGTCTGGCCCAAGTACTCCATAGTCTCTCCTGCTCACTTCGCTCAGTCCAGTAAGGGTGACCCCTCAGTCAACCTCCTGTTAGGGTAAATTCCTTCCCACCTCCACCCTTCTCTGGGCAGTCTCATCACAGTTTGTAAACAGTCTTACGCGGAACAGGTTAGGATCCTCCCCTTCCTGAATCAGGGCCTCATATAGCAGTCTTGTTCTGACAGTGGACCAGAATCTTTCAACCTCTGTGTCTCACTGACTTGTCCCAATTTGCCACTAGTCTTTGGCCTTTCAAGCCTTTCACTCAGTGGTTTTGTCAACTCCCTACTCTGCCTGATCCTTGGCTCTGCACAGGTGTGCACCACTCCTAGCCCTTAGATCAGGAGTTCTCAATCCCTGGTGCCGGGCAGCGGTGGGTTGGCTGCAGGTCTGCAGCACAGTTGGCTGCTGGATCAGAAGTGGCCACAGACTGGCAAACTGCAGCCCCCCAGAGCCAGGCGGAGAGGCCATGGCTCCTTCTGCAGGGTCCGCAGCAGCGTAGAGTTTGGCCCACCCACACCCAGGGGGTGGGGATATCCTTACCTGTCTGCCAGCCAGAAATTCCAGCCGCGGTTTGCCGGGCTGTGGCATAAAAACTTTGGGATCCCCTGCCTTAGATGATGCTACTTCTCCTTTCTCTGGGGAAAATGAGTCTTTGTTCCCTTGCCCTTAAGCAGGTTGGTTTTCACTGTGACCCAAATACCTTCAGCTCCCTCTGTCATATGCTATCATAGCCAGGGAGCTCCTCACTCTCAGTCTCCAGCTACTTCTGGGTTCATTCCTCATCAACCATTATGACTGCCAGGAACAGCCATGAGTCATTCCCTGCAAAAAAATTGATTTTGTAGTTGTTCCCAAGGTTCCCCACCACTACCCACCCACAGGACTGACCCCCAGCTGACTCATGTCAAGTCTCCGAAATGTACCACGTCCCAGCTCGGGTCTCGGGACTGGGGGCTAGTTATGAGTATGGCTCTTGCCGTGTTTGAACCCATAACAGGGACGAAGAATTGGCTTCCTGTTACAGTGTCACCATTCAAAGTTCTTTCAGGAATCTGAGGAGCCTGGGAGGATTCTCTGGGTAATGTTTGACAAAGATGTGTAGTCTTTGAGGATAAAAGAAGCAGCACTGCAACAATAGATAGAGAGGAAGCACCAAGTAAAACCTAGGCAAGTACTGTTTGAGGCCCTAAGAAAAGCCAAGAAAAAGCTTTTGGGCTGAGT